GTGGGAGAGGGTCACACACACCCACACCACACACAGCCACACAACTGCCCTCTCCATCCCTGTCTCGAGCCCCAACAAACCCTCAACAGCACCCTCCGAAGCAAGCGGGAAAAGACTTCTCACACAGCCGCGAACAGCACAACCGCAGCAGCAGTCTCAGCAGCAGCAGCAGCAGCAGCAGCAGCAGCAGCAGCAGCTCACAAGGAACCATGTCGTTCTTCACGACCGGTTTCGCGACCATGGTGAACAACAGGCGCCTGAAGGCGGCGAAGAAGGCAGACACGAAAAGTGAGTTGTCGGCCTGTAGTGCATGCATGATGATGCATGTCATCGTGGAGGCTGTTGCCTCTCTGGCGGGTAGCTGTGCTGCTGCGGCCGGCTTCACACACACGTTGAACCAAGCACAGGCCGCTGGTTCTCCCCAACAGCTCAAGCTCATCTNGAGATTCCAGAAGCACGGCAGTCTACCGTCCATTTCCACATGTAGACTTACATCCAACGGGGGCTACACATGTTTGAAAACCGTTCTGGATATTACGTTGTTGGTGTGCAGACGAGGATGATTCATATGCATAAACCACAATTCATGTAGCATATGCATAAACCACAATTCAGGTAGATACATCGTCTAGAGAAATGGGTCGTTGGACGCGTCTCGCATGGAATGGACGGCTGCTTGTTTTATCGCCACCGCCGTAGTTACAGTGTACGTGTACATAGTACTCAACGTTGTACACGTGTGCTTCCACTTGTGTGTCTTTCTTTTCAAGCCGGAGCTTGTTCTAATCCCCGCTAATGACAGTATGCACACGTGTGTGTCAGTTGCTCCATCTCATTAGCGTGAGATGGCAATCAGATTTCATGTCCTACCGTCCCGAACTCGTACACTTTCTAGACTTGTTGCAGTCTACATAACATTCATGTGTGCAGAGAGCATACAGCAGCTTTGTCCATACGTCTTGCCGCTTCTCACACTCGCTCGCATCCAGCAACCAACACAATTTCCCCTGAAACTCACATTATTGCCATATTCTCCGAAATCCGACCAACAACCCACAGGCAGCACAGCGTGACGGGCGAGTGGGCCTACGTCTACGGTGGCGGTCTCAGCGCTCCTCCCGTTGTGGCGGTCAGTCCTACATCCGTGGTCTATCCCCACGGCGTGGTCGTCATGCCTCCGCCTGTCTACGCCGCGGCCCCCAACCCGCCCCTCCCCGCCAAGAAGAAGGATGTCGCTGGCGGACAGAAGGATTGCGACGAAAAGGACGAGAAGAAGGAGAAGGGCAAGGGATGGTGGGAGACGAAGTCCGACAAGGACGGGGACCGGTACTGGGAGCACACGGTGACGAAGAAGATCACCTACAAGGACCCTTACTACTGAAACAACTTGANTAGTAGTAGTAGTATCTAGTCTTGCGTAGTAAATTTCCCTGGATGTTTCCTTCTCTTGAGATGGTGTGGTGAAGTGGTTTATGCGTTAATCTATCTGAAGAGGAGCTGTGTCTTCTTGAATTTGCAACGTACATGTGTTTGATGCGGGGGTAGTTGTTGGTACTTGCCTTCCTTTGCCCCGGCACGTTGCAGCATTGGTTGGAGGTTGGGAGGGGGGAAATATGTGCGGGCCCGCTTGTTGAGGCATTGCGGCAGATTGTATGTACGTAGCTTGGTCAAGATTAGTTCGAAATCACAGAGAAGCTCTCGAGTGAATAACATTACATATTTTCTCAATTTGATTTAAGAGTGAAAGAAAGAAGGGGCTGGCGTTGCTTGCTGTCTCCCGCAATCTCTCGTGTTGTTCGTCATTCATCCCTTCCGCGTCTTGCGCTGTTTTTCTGTCTTGTTCTTGTGTGGTTTGGTCGGAAAGCTTTAGGTATTTGCGATTCTTGATGCAAGTACACTATTCACGGGGACGCGATGCGTCCAACGGCTTGACGAACGTGTCAGACTGACACCGGATGTAAACCCCTGTAGCGTGGCTAGTGTTTAGGCATTATGGTTGGGGGCGGTGGTGGCTGCGGCGCTGTGGAATGCCGGTGTCGCTGATTTGATGTTGATATCATATCACAAACCGCCTTGGTGGCCTGCCGCTGTACAGCAGTAGTAGCGTCATTTGGTTGTACGACATGACCGTTTTGCCTTTTTTTTAATATCCTAAAAGGTGGCGTTCAGCACTCTGTTGGGGTTTCGTTAATGCCGTGTGTATCTACGATGGGGGTAGGATCCTTTTCCAGATAGGCGATTCGCTGGGCAGCATGCATGTAATCGTGAAAACATTTCTTGTTTTTGATGAGAAAAAACAAGAATGAGAAATACGCCGTTATGGTACGGTGTCCAACAAGCTTTGGTTGATATAAGGCGTTCTCTCTTCTTCAAGATTGGTACTGCTTATGTGGACGGAAGTCACAGCACACCCACGCCATGTGCCCGGTGCCTGCGAATTAAAAATTGCGCTCTAGCACATAAGTAGAGTACTCGTCCTCCCTGAAACTAAAAAACGAGTCTACCAGAGTACAGACCACCATTTACCTGGAACATCCAATTAATGCTGTCGCCGTATGATGCATTGGACCCAGCTGCAAAAACAACCTGTGGTTTCAACCACAAGCCGTGGGTTTTCAGCCTTGTTTGTTAGCAATGTGTTCAAGCTAGACCATACTAGCAAGGACGCCTGCTGAAGTAGGGTGAGAGGACCGGGACCAGTAGGCGAGAGATCTCGGCGGCGGCAGCAGTTGCATCTCGACCAGCACGTCGTGGCACCCCGCCCAACAGATGACATGCCACCGTAAATCGTACAACACCACACTGTATAGTCTAGTCTACAGTTCCAGCCCCTTGTGCGAAACATGAAAAAAAAACGGAACGTACATCACCGTAACCTACGGAACGTACATTGCAAGAGCCGGCCTCACGTTGATTCATAAATGAAGCACATTGACCTGGGATCATCCACACACATGAACTGCTCGCAATGGGTGGTGTACAAGAAGCCCGCGCTTCACCGTTCGTTGGTAGGAGCAACAACGGCATAACCCTCACTGTTGGGAAAGATGCGAAGTACTTAAGTACAAACACGACGAGCGAGAGGGATCTCGGCGACACACGACGGCTACCAGCCGGAAGGACAGGGGTGGCAACGCCCGTGTGACGACGTGCCCCCAACGAGCACGCCGTCATTCTCCATCAACAGCAAGCTTGAACAGAGACCCACCCTTTACTGTTTTCAACAACGGGAGATGAGTTATTCGGCGCTACAGCAGTAGTAGCCTAACCTGCTTTCGCCGCGTGAAAACTCATTCGTGACTAGAGAACCGCGCACGATCAACGCACGGACGACCCATGTTCGGTGAGAGAGAGAAAGAGCAATATTGGGTTATATCGAGAGACAGCCGAAATAACATCGCTTCGAATTCTACCTAAACTGACAAGAGACGGCGTGTCCGGATTATTCACCATGTATCACACATGAAACCTTCACGCCTTGGCTGCTGCTCTCCTTCACAGGGGAAAGGGACCAAAACGACGAAGCATGCGAATAGGAGTACGGCTCGATTTCTGCCTTCAAAATTCGCATCAGCTCAACCTACTCGCAACATGCATCCAAACCAAGAAGAGACCGTATCACCAAGAACTCAGCGATAGACTGCCCTCGCAAATAAAGGTTTGTCCCTCAACACAAATGCGGAAGACTGGCCAAAATTACCACGGCCAAATCGAGATCAGCAACTTCACACAAATAGCAACCTTCCACCGTAGCAAACTACTGCACGGCTTTGGCATGCATAGAAACCTCAGATCGCCGCAACACACACCGAAACACGCACCGCATTCCAAAGAAACAGAAGCTGCGCTAAAAGACCGATGTGAGAAAAAGAAAAGCACGCCATGCCGTAAAACATGGCGTCGAACACAATTACAACCAGGTTTAGCACAAAAACAAAAAAGCCGGCCCCAAAACTCTCCAATCATCTCGCGCTGACACGGGTGCTCTTTCGGTGTGTGCAAAAGAAAAAATCGGCTGTCGAAACCACAACCCGCGCCAGCAGCAACAAACAACGCCAGCCCCCTACCGAGCCCACCTTCCCACTACTCTATTTATCTGTTTAATGGTACTGTTTTCTCGTGTTTTTCGTCTGGATTTTTTGTTGTTGTGGGAGAAAAAATTATTCACACCGCCCGGACAAGACCTCAAAAGAGCCGCCCAAACAACCCTCCGACGCTTCCTCCCCCTCCCCCGCCGCCTTGTGACGAAGACGCCGCCGCCCCTCTCCTCTTCTTCAAGGCGTGGTTTACGTTTACCGCGGACCCAACCGACCCATTCGCCGGAACCCCTCGCCTGCGGATAAGTGGGGGTGGGGCCGGAGAGTGGGGGGGGGA